TTTTACAAAAGAGTGATGACAACAGTGGATAACAAAGACAACAATAAACAATCAAAGATGATAATAATAATTAATAATAATTGATAAATCCTATAGTTAGGGTTGGCTTGTTATGCTGCCATAGACTTACACCACTAGAGGACAAATTGACCTCATTTCCTTAAATGATGTGCTAAAATTGAATAGTTTTCATTTGATATTATTTCTTTCTTAACATGTGATTCTTGACCTGCCATTGTGTATCTGTTCCTCCTTTAGATCCTCTCAAACCCAGCTGATCGAAGCAGATGGCCTCTTGTCCTGAGCCTGGTTCTGCTAAAAGTTTCTTCCTCACGAGGGAGTTTTTCCTTTCCACTGTCGCCTTCGTGCTTGCTCAAGATGAGAGTTCTGGAGTTAAACTCAAAGCAGTCTGCTCCTCAGATAAATAATGTTATTAACTTACTTTTTATATTCATGAATGTTTCTGTTCGGTGCCCTGAGGCGACTTCTGTTGTGACTTGGCGCTATAGAAATAAACTGAATTGAATTGATAATTTTTATTACATAAGCCAACTTTTATTAGAAGTTTGCTAAATACACACACAACTTTGCCATGTCTTACTACATGTAAACATTATTATAAACCACGTTTTTCACATGTGAAACAGATCAAAACAGGAACTTAAACTGTGGGAAAGCTATTTTTTCTGTTAAAGCACGTGTCATATGAACATGCTTTCATGTTTTGTGTGAATTTGTTTACAAACTTAGTATGACACAGAGTATTTGTCAAAAAACAAAACAAAACAAAAAAACAGTGGTTTTCTGCATTTTAAGATGGTGATTTTCTGCAAAAATTCTTCACGAGAAAACACGTGGTGTTTCACGTTAATTTGACGGGTGTCCACAGGTGATTTGCGCACGTGATGTTCACGTGGTTGGTCCTGCACGGCTTGAGCTCTTTAACACATTCAGTTCTTTATTCTTAACTTGTTTCGTCATGAAAAGAATGACCTGATGAACAGAACCAACATGATCCGGACCTTCCTCCTGTTTTGGTGAGGCTCCTCTCCTCCTGCAGGTTCGGGCTGCAGTCTGGACCGGGCCGAGCCTGCAGAGGAGGGGAGGAGGAGACCCGACGAGCCTTTTGTCTTCAAGGGAAACCCTTTTCCCTCAGGGTCTGACCTGATCTTTTTCTCCTGCCCTCCTCCTCCTCCTCGTCCTCTCCATCCATCCAGCCTCTCCCTCAAACGCACGATCCGAGTTCCCGAAAAGCCTCCATGCACGATCCATCCGCCATTTTCAGCAGATTGAAAGAAAGCAGGTTGAACAAACTCACAAGTTCTCAGAGGTAAGTGCGTGCGAGGTGCCTAAAAGAATAAAAACCACCTGACGACTTGAGAGGGGCGACACAGAGGGGAGAAAGGAGGAGGAGAGGGGCGGTTTGTAGCAGGAGGAACAATAAAAGCATCCTCCAGGCGTTGGTCTGCAGCCTGTCTCAACTTTGTGTGGAAAACGGGTTTAAATGAGGTCTGGATCAGAACTCCTGCTCCACAGTCAGGAAATAAAAATAAGTATATTTATGTGAGAACAAGAAGTTAGATCCCTCATTTTTTCAAGGTAAAACTGTCCCACCAGAGGCAGACTAAAGGAGGAGGATGTTCTGAACGTCTTTTAGCTGCTGTTTGGTTCTAAAGCATCATTATTGTTCCAGGAGGAGTTATCAGGGTCAGAACCGAGCTCTGGATCCACTGGTTTGTGTTTTAACATGTGAGGCTGACCCACTGAGGTTCAGCTGCTGCTGGGATTCAAATCAGGAGCAGAACATTTTCATTCAACCTTTATTTATACAGGTTGGTCTCATTGAGCCTCGAGGACTCTTTTACAAGAGAGACCTGGTTTCAACAAAGAACGATGACAACAGTGGACATTCATAAAATAAAGCATATAAATTGAGAAAAATAAATGAAAGAAAATGGTATTTAAAAAAATGAAACAAAAAACAGCTAGGTTGTAGGGCGGTTTAGAAAACTACAAACAGGAACATGTCTGCGTTGGTATTTCCCATGAACTTAACAGATGCTTAAAGACACTTAGAGAGGTCAAGGTCGAGAGCTTCAGATCTTTTTGCAACATATTCCAGGAAACAGGAGCGGAGTAGGAGAAGGCCCTTTTGCCAAGTTCAGTCCTTACTGAGGGGACACTGCAGGTAATAATGTCCTGAGAGCGCATGCTGTAGCTGCACTCACGCAGAGACATGTAGGAGGAGATGTATGAAGGCAAAAGACCAAGAAGTGATTTAAAGATGAAAATTTACCAGTGAGAGAATGCGTGAGGTTAATGATGTCCAGTTAACCAGTGAATACAGGGTGCAGTGGTGGGTACGGTAGTTACAGCCAGTTATGAATCTTAGTGCACCATGATAGACAGCATCTGCAGAGTGCTTGTAGGAGCGTTCATGTAAATAATGTCACCGTAATCAATGGAGGGAAGGAAAGTCACAGTTACAAGGTGTTTCCTAGCATTCAGGGTTAGACAGGATCTATTTCTGAAAAAGAAACCCAGTTTAACTTTTAGTTTCTTTACCAAGTTTTCCACGTGAAGCTTAAAAGAGAGATGCAAATTGACCAAGATACCCAAATATTTGTAGGAATTGACAAACTCAATAAGAGCACCATTCGAAGATAAAATCAGAGGAAGAACTGCTGGGACCGACTTCTTCTTTGAAAACAGCATCCCTTTGGCTTTGTCGGCATTTAGGACAAGTTTGAAATAGAACAAATCTGACTGGATGATGTCAAAAACAGATTTCAAAAGCTGGAAAGCTTTTTCTACTGTTTTAGCTCGACAATAGACAACTGTGTCATCAGCATAGAACTGTATGGATGCATCAAGGATGCTCTGACCTACATTACCTATGTAGATTGTAAAGAGGATGGGTCCTAAGAATGAGCCTTGTGCCATTGTTGACCGTTAAATAACTGGAGGAAGTACCATTATGTTGAACACATTGTCTCTGATCTGAGAGATAGTTAGAGAGCCAACCAATGATGTGATCGAGAGCTTATGATGCAAGATGTCGTGATCCACAGTGTCAAAAGCTTTAGACAGGTCTAAGTAAAGTGCAGCGCAATAGTCCTTTGCATCCAAATGATCCTGAGAGGATAAATCTTATGGACCAACACTTCCTGAGCTCAGCTGTTTCTGTGTAAAGGTTATAAAGACACATTTAAATCCTCTGATTCATTTCTCCAATAAAATGTCTGAATGTTTTGGCTTGAGAGCGATAATCTTGAAGGTGCAACAAGCATTTTAAAATTGGATTTCTCCAATAATGCAGTGTGAAAGCTTCAAATGACTCGAAGAATGTGTTGTTAAAGCTAAAACAATCAGAACAAGCGGTAAAACCAGCAAAACCGCATCTGCAAGTTATAATTAGCTAAGCAGTGGCTAAAAGATAAAGTTACAGTTACCACAACCATAACCAAAAGCTAAAATTAACTAAACTGTAGCTAAAACATAACACTTGCAAAATGTAAAAAAATGAAAAAGAAATGACTACTAAAAGCTGAAATTAGCATAACTTTAACTAAAATGTAGAATTAGCTTAACAGTAGCTAAAAGCTAAAATTTGCCAAACAAGCAAAAAGTTAGTATTACCAAAATAATAAGTAAATGCTAAAATTATATTAGCTTAAAGCTCAAATGAGCATGACTGTAGCTAAAATATAAAATTATAGTAAAGCTAAATCTAGCAGCAATACTAGTTTCAGATATACTTAAATAAAGAAGGTCTGAACACTTGTTAACAGGTGTGCAATCAAAATAATGAATGCTGGTCGGCCTCGATCAAAGATTATAGTGAATCCTTGGCAATGTTGCGATCCCCCTCACTTCAATTAAAAAACAACCTCAAAACCCGGTCAGTTAAAATCCCATTTCTTTATTTCATTTCATTTATTGTCAGTTTGAATTGTGACAATATGGAATTATGGCCAATTTTAAATATGAATGAATAACCAATAGTGTTATTTCAGAAGGGTGAATAATATAAGATAGCTTAAAACTTTGAGAAGAGATTTTATTCAATTTTAGGACTAATGTTAATGTTTAGGTAAACTTTATCTTAGATTGGTAAAGTAAACTAAAGTTTCTGAAAACTTAGTTGGCACAGAGGGTCATTTCCTTTCATCAGGAGGAAGATGTTTTATTCTACCGGAGACGTCCTCACCCATTACCACAATGGATATGATGCGAAAGCTGGAGGGTCATGCTGTCACCGGAAGGGAAGTCTTTTCTTCAGCACCACGTCTCGTCCAGCAAGGCAGTGCCTCATCATTCTGGGGTGGTTGAGCGAGTTCCAAGGACTTTCTCCATTTCAGCTGACTGAGCCTCGTCCGAGATGGACAAGGACCGGAGCCTGGCTCCCCGCTGCTTCCTGGGGCTGGCTTGAAGCTGCTAGAAGAAGACTACTTCTCAGCCAACAACAACTCTGACTCTCCCTTAGGTGTCAGCTTTACCTGATTCTAGAAAGGGGGGGTTGCCTATGCAAATCATATCCAATCAGTGCAACTCTGACCAGCCAAATGGGCGTTAACGGAGTCGCATAAATTAATTTTGATTATATAACTCCACCTCTCAAAGTTTAGAGGGAACAATGAGTTTGTTTACCCAATAACACAATTTCTTCACAGATGTACATTTAGGTTTTTTCACACAACACTGTTACACAACAGGGGTTCTGTCTGTGCAGCTGGCTAACTTCCTTCGTTATGGTGACCACACCTCTTTTTGTCCTGGGGTTATGGCAAAGTTCTGTTCTTTTTTGGGAGATGCTGTCATTCCCCAATCTGTTGCGGAAGCACGATCCGTAGCGTACTTCCGGGTTGCACAGATCACGGTTGTTTATGAATAACAACCGTCTTAATTTACTTTGAAAATTATGCGCTCTATCTCGACCAATCTTAAATTAATGTAGCTAATTTATGCCACTCGTATTTCCCTTCGGATCACCGTTGTTTATGAATAAAAACTGTCTTAATAATTTACTTAGAAAAGTTTGTGCTCTATATTCACCGATCTTGATGTAGGTAATTTACGCCACTTGTATTTCCGTTACAAATCATTGGTTAAGATGACATGACGCATTAGACCTGACCCCCAACTTGGACTAGGGGTTAAACGACTACATATTTTTAAAAGTCGACTTTAACACGATAAAAGTCTAGTAGACTTCAACTAGTCAATGACGTCATAGGAACTCAGGACGCTATAGCATATTTGCAAAAAAGAAACAAAAAAAACCCAACAACAACAAAACATCGGGCATATATTTATTCTCCTGCCATTTATCATACTGCAAAAAAGTCAAAGGCACGGTAAAACTATTAACCAAGCTGCAAAAATGCTGCTGTCTTAGTTTTATTTAATCCACCACGTGGATTGGGTGGATTAGGGTTGGGAACAGCAGGGATGAAACTAGTCAATGTGAAATATAAAAACTTGCGAGATGACATATAATTGACTAATCGATTAGTTGACTAGTCTATTCAAGCTTGGACAGAATGAGAAAAACCCTGCAAGATACAGAATGAATTATTTCCACGGTGAAACAGCACCGCTCAGTGGTGAAGCTGCACATCATTTTAACAATGACATAAATATGTCAGTGATTTTAACGGAAATACGAGTGGCGTGAATTAGCGACATGAGAATCGGCGGAGATACAGCACATACGTTTCTAAGTAAATTAAGACAGTTCTTAGTCATAAACAGAATTATACTAGTACATTTTCCTTAATCTAGCATGTTGAACGGCGATCCGTGCGACCCGGAAGTATTCCTTTTAGCGCATGTGCAAATGAGCTACACAATGGATCGGGTTTTGCAAGTTACGCAACAGATTGGGTAACCACTGACGCAAACTCTTATCTTTCTCAGGAAAGAGAGTTGATTATGAGGAGCCATTTTGTCTGACTCAGGAAGGGGAATAATTAGCACAGAGGATTAATTGCCATACAGTCATGTTCAGTGTCTCTGAGGCCAGGATCAAGACTCTGAGTCACCCTGACTCATAGATTATGAATCGTAGAACACTACAGTTAAGCCTCCAGTATACTCCCGCTTACGTCCATACGCGGAGGTACGCACATACGTAAGTGGAGGTACAAGCGCACCCCTCCAGGGCATGTCCGTGCAAAGCTCAATTTGCGGTGTCGCACAATAACCTGCCCTGTGACCGACTGTTTTGTATGTGACACTAATGCAGTGGTGGAGAAAGTACTCAAACACTGTACTTAAGTAAAAGTACAAATAAACAGACAAAAATGTACTCTAGTAAAAGTACAAGTACCACATTAACATTTTTACTTAAGTAAAAGTAAATAAGTACTTGCTTTTAAAATACTTAAAGTATTAAAAGTAAAAGTACTTGCTGAATGTATTACCTAATGTAATGGTCTACATATATTTAAGTCTGCGTACCATATGTATATTTTCTGTAATACATTAATAATGTTGAGCCATTTTAATGAACAATGCTGCAGATAATACATGTTTTTATTGTGTTTATTCTGTGACACATTTCACACTTGGACTTGTGATTCTGTGCGTCAGAACTTCAGGGATGACCTGCAGAGTTAAATGCCATTAATCAAAATAAGAAAGAGGAATGATTATACTTTTAAAAGTTTTTATTTAACATAAATCAAAACCAATGTGTCATTTTAAGTGTAGTAAACACATTTAAGTAAAAGTTGTCTGTCTGAACAAAAGGAACATTAGACACTACGAACAAAGGAACAGACTCTGATCATTTCAACTGATATTTCAACTCCAGTTTGTCATCAACTCTAGTTAAAATACTGTCTATTCAACCTTGTAATGGGTCAATATTGAACAATATTTTAACTTCCTGACACCATTTTTAAAACTTGGACCAGAGTGTCGAGCCGTTTGGAGACATCTCTTGTCTCCTAACATCATGAACTGACACATATTGCAGCAAGAATTTCTTGTTCAAGTTTAGAAGAAGTTGGTTTTCAAAGATTTTTCAGTCCAGTCTGCCTCTTTTGGGAGAGAGAATCTGTCTTGTTGTACTGAGCAGTCTTTCATTAAGGCCAGGGGTGATGCATATCTTCTGGGTGACTCTCTTGCGGTGGAATACATTTTGGGTGTGTTAGCAGTGCTGTGGGTGCAGCGGCTGTGGCTGAATGGTTAGAGCAGTTGTCCTCCAATGCGAGAGTTGGGGGTTCGAATCCACCAGCAGTCACATGTCGAAGTGTCCCTGGGCAAGACACTGAACCCCTCATAGCCTCTGATGTGTGTCCCATCAGTGTATGAATGTGATAAAGCTCTGATTAGTCTCTTTAGAATGATTTGTTCAATTAGCTTTGTAGAGATCTAGTAGAGCGCTGTATGGATGGGTAAATGAGGACACAGATTGTTGTGTAAAGGGCTTTGAGTATCTTGAAATAAGATTGAAAGCCGCTATATAAGTACAGTCCATTTACCATTTACCCAGCTCACTGACATACTGTACATACTAGAATATATGTCATTGGCCCAGCTCTTCTTGAAGGCAGGCCTAACGTTACCTGCCCACTTTGCAGTGATTCAATGGACCAGCTCCCCTCTCACCATTGGTTACTTTCAAAGTAATAAACAAATCAAAAAGCCGCAACATGAATTTAAGTTGTAATGCAACGCTTTATAGAAATGTAGTGTAGTAGAAAGTACAGATACTTGATGTAAAATGTAGTGGAGTAAAAGTTTTAAGTACCCACATTTAACTCTACTTAAGTAAAGTACAGATACACGAAAAATGTACTTAAGTACAGTAACAAAGTATTTGTACTTAGTTACATCCCACCACTGCACTAATGTATTAAATTCCCCTTCTTCATCCCTGATCTGGCCTTTTCTTTTGTTTGTTTTCCAAGAGGCAAGTGATCCCTTCCTCTTCCGTTGATGCCATGACTGAAATGGTGAGAAATGAAAGAATTTGTCACGAGCGAATTAAACTCAGATCCAGTGTGGCTGCGGGAGGGTCTGGAGATTTCCTTGTGGGCTGGTCTGATGTGTGGGCTGCAGGGCCAGCACTCCCTGTTTTTTTTAAATGTTTTAGATCTTTTTATTAACAACATATAAACACAGAACACCGCTGCGGCTGAGGCTGCCAGCACTCTGTTTTTTTTTTCTTCCGACCTGTCAATCAATCAATCAATAGCGACCACCCAGGCTCTCATTTCCCCTCCAACTCATGACCCATCCATCCCACCTCAATCTGTAGCTCCATTTGACCATTTTGAACCCATCACTCTATCTTCTCTAGAGCAGGTCATGTGCAGCTTGAAACCTTCTGGTTCCCCCTTTGATGTGGTCCCCCCTCGACTACTAAAGGAGGTTTTTCTTACTCTAGGTCCGTCCATTCTGGCTATAGTAAACAGTAGTTTATCCACTGGCGTGGTGCCAAAATCCTTTAAACATGCTGTTGTCCAGCCTCTCCTGAAAAAAACAAACCTTGACCCCTCAGTCGTATCCAACTTCCGGCCTGTCTCCAGACTCCCATTTGTTTCAAAACTACTGGAGAAAATAGTTGAGTCCCAGTTGAAGTGCTTCCTGGAGGGTCACGCCATCTTAGAGCTATTCCAATCTGGCTTTAAACCTCTCCACAGCACTGAAACTGCCCTGCTGAAGGTCTTTAATGACATTTTCTTAACCACTGATACCGGTGATTCTGTGCTGCTTGTCCTGTTGGACCTCACAGCCGCCTTTGACACCATCGATCATGAGATCCTCATTGCTAGGTTGGAGCAGTGGGTGGGCGTCACAGGGTCAGCCCTCAATTGGTTCAGATCTTACCTCACTGACAGATCCTTTTGTGTCTCCATCAAGGATTTTAGTTCTGCAGAGGCAGAGCTTAAATGGGGGGTTCTGGATCCATCCTGGGTCCCCTCCTATTCTCTTTATACCTGCTGCCGCTTGGTGCTATTTTCCGGAAACACAACATGCCCTTCCACTTCTACGCCAATGACTGTCAAATTTGCTTCCCCCTAAGACACAATGGTACATGCTCTATTCAACCGCTGCTCGACTGCCTGGCTGACATCAGGGACTGGATGGCTTTAAACTTCTTAAGTTTCAATGAAAAGAAGTCTGAAGTCATGTTGTTCCCTCCCAACGACACGATCACAAACCACTGTATCGACCTCTCCGCTCTAACCCTGTCAGAAAAACAAAGAGTCACTAATCTGGGAGTGATAATGGACCCTTCCCTGAAACTTAACAGTCACGTAAACATGATTGCTAAATCATGTTTCTTCCAACTGAGGCGGCTGTCTAAACTGAAGCCCATATTGTCCAAAAATAACCTGGAGACAGTAATACATGCATTCATTACATCTAGGCTTGATTACTGCAATTCACTCCTGTTTGGTATCAGTCAGACCTCCATAGCACGACTACAACTGGTCCAGAATGCAGCAGCCCGATTCTTAACCAGTACAGGCAAAAGAGAGCACATTACACCAGTTTTGGCCTCACTGCACTGGTTACCGGTTCACTTTCGAATCCAGTTCAAAATACTCCTGTATGTCTACAAATCACTGAACAGTTTCGCCCCCCCCCCCCCAACTC